ATTACAGCTCACAGCAACCTCCAACTCCTGGGCTCAAGCGAGTCTCCTGCCTCCGCCACTCAAGTAGCTGGGACCACAGGCGCCGGCCACAACGCCTGGCTATTTTTTGGTTGCAGCCGTCATTGTTGTTTGGCGGGTCCAGGCTGGGGATTTGAACCCACCACCTTGGGTGTACGTGGCTGGCGCCTTAGCCGGTTGAGCTATAGGCGCCAAGCCCCCATTCTTTTTTGAAAGCTCATTTATCTACAAATGGCACAGTTTGGTTTCCTCTTTTCACAAAATTGCAGAAAAGCCAGTTGAGATTAATTTTGGGAGGAAGAGACAATGGAGAAGAAAGACCCTTTGGAATGTATCTCCCAATCTAAATTGGTGTCCAAACAGCAGATCTCTAGGAAAAACCCAGCAGCTCAGAATAAACCAAGGACCATCAACCACCCTTCTCCCTCATACTCCAGATGAGCAGTACCACAAGGTGAAAACTCACCAGAAGAGTGGTATAAAACTTCACTAACTGCCAAACACAAACACAATTAATCCCCAACATGAGTAATATAAAATGCCACGGGCTGTCACGTGAATGGGGTCTCCAGTGAATAGCCACCCCTCTCACACTCCAGTATGAATATTGGATTTCTCCTTCCACGTGGATTCGAACCTACAGCTATAAGTTATCACTCAGCTGAAGTTTTCCCCAAGGGACAGACCAAACGGGATCCTCAACAAAAAATGCCAGGACGGTCAAACAGATGGGGGTCCAAACAGGACAAATGCCACCCAAATGGTGCTTCAATGACACAGGGCCAGAAGGTTCACAAATGGGAATCCAATGGGGATGAATACCATTCCAAATGGCTGGAAGGTTCAAGCCCCGCCCCCAAATGCTGGCCTAGTTTCCCCCATCCCCCTTATTCCCTGGGAAACACATATGAGCTCTGAATTAAAACCAGATTCCCCAGTTCCACTCAATTTCATGACTTATATCCCCCAAAGGTACCATAAAACAAATGCCCTGATAGGGCTCTGAACAAACACCCTGCCATAGGGACAGAGTTCAAAATCCTCTCTAATGTGTGGGACCATATCCAACAAAAGGAGAATGTACCTGACAAAAGACCTGGCATCTGGACACCCTCCAAATCCATTTCCTTCTCCTCAACTTAGTTCAGGTTGTGGGGAGCTGTGTCTACTTTGGGGAGATAGAGATATGAGTTCCCTGGAGCCAAAACCGGCTCCTGCAACTGCCAGGGCCATCCCTTGCTCTTTCATCTTGAAAAGAAGTTGCTCCTGCTTATGCAGACCCACGGTTGTGACCTAGGACTGCTCTCCGCCTCTTCCAGCAGTTGGGGGTGCCATTTCATAGGGGTGCTAGTGGGCCCACCCAAGGACACCAAATTCTGTTACTGTAAGTTTGGCACTTGTCCCCAAGGCCTTATCAGAACAACAAGAACAAGTGGTTTGAGGAGAAGGAAAGAGGAAATCTGCTAGCAAATGAGAGGCTGGCAGACTCCAGTCTCCAAGTACCAGCTTCCTCAGTCTCCTATCTAATCTGAAGTCTCTAGTCCCTGGCCTTTACAACTTCTTTTTTTTTCTTTTTAGAGACAGAGTCTCACTTTACTGCCCTTGGTAGAGTGCTGTGGAGTCATAGCTCATAGCAACCTCTAACTCCTGAGCTTAGGCAATTCTCTTGCCTTAGCCTCCCAAGTAGCTGGGACTACAGGCGTCCACCACAATGCCTGGCTAGCCTTTACAACTTCTTCAGCCTTATCCTTTTCTGGAAATATGCCAAGGACTCAGTTTGTAAGTGTAATTTTTATCCCTGTACTATGTAGGAACTATCATCAGCAGGTGTAGGCACAGTCTGTTAAAGCTTGTCTCTAGCACAGATGTTTTATTCTCTAATAATACCGAGTACGGATAAAACACAACTAACATTCTGGGTTCAAAATTAAATTTTTTTCTAACAGGAAACTGAAATTTGATGGCAAGGTTAATAATAATAAAGGAAAAGCATGGCTTGATCAGGGAGGCCTGAATCAGACCAAGTCTTTCAGGCTAAAAGGGGGCAACAAAAGGAAGAGTCATGTGTGCAGCTTGTGGTAACCCCCATGGCAGTCATCACGAGGCAGACTCCTCAGGACGCCAGTCGGAGGCACCAAATTTAACAAGGGCCAGTGACGAGAATGCTCTCAGCAAATTTAGTTTGGGCAGGAGAGGGCTCTGGGAGCCTTTACAGTTTTCAGAGTGGTAGAGGCCCAAATAAGGAAAAAAGCTTCTAGATTGCACTAGCTGTCACCATCAAGCTTCTTTGACACTGCGAACCCCAGTGTACAGTACATGACCACAGACAGGACTGAGTAGGTCTTGACAACCACTCATGTAACTATGCACCCAGGCGTCACACTACACACACACATTCCCTGAGACGCTTCTAGGCACAGAGTGCCCTCTGATATTTTCTAGTCTATTCTGTTTTATTTAACTGTGCCAGTAGCACAGAGACCGCTCCAAAGGGGACGCTTAAGGGGGCAGGACACAGTGGGTGCCCCAAGGGGCAGCGGGCAGCCCTAGTGAGGAAGGAATGGGGAGTCCAGGAGATCAATGGGCAGTATTGGGGTGTGGGGGTCAGTCCTGGGAAGCAGTAGGCTCCATGACAGTGAGGATCATATCTGGGTTAGAGAAAGACAAGAGAATTGTTCTCTTGCTGAGGAAGAAGTCAGATCAGGCCACACACAAAGCTCCTCTTCCTAATCTAAGACCTTATTCATCAAAATAAATACTTAACCACGATCTGTAAAAGCAAAGCCTGCCAGGCTGTAGTGCACCACCCTGTCCCACCTCCACCTACCTGGAACACAAGGACACCCATGTGGGAAACCGCCAGGTTGATCTTGGCGCCTTCTCTGTCAGAAGCTGTGTGGAATCTGATGCCATACATTTCCAACTTGCGAGCAATTTCAAGCACCTGGAAATCTGACTCAGCAGGCGTCTGGCCCCTATAATGAAGGCCAGTACAATCAATATCACTAAGAACATTCAATTTTTGAAAAAATCAAAAGGTATTAGAGAAGTGGTCAGGAGAACAAATGAAACAATAAACAAATGAGGAAAGCTTTGGTTTTCAGAGATAGATTATGTACCATCAATACGTTTACCCATAAAATCAACACGCCATACCTGCAGGCACAGAAATCATCACTTTCCTTCTCTTCTATAATTCACTTCATAATAGGTGAATGTTTCCTCTGTATTCATTAGATACTTGGCCTTACGATTTGCTCTGATCATATGTTTGCATATGACACAAATATTAAATCAGATGAAATAACACAAATATTAGAATTTTATTAAACCCATTTCAATGATTTAAAAAAGTATTTTCATAATATGCAATTTGACTATCAGAATACACTTGTGTGCTAGGTGTAGTGGCTGAAACCTGTGAGCCCAGCACTTTGGGAGGCAAAAGTGAGAGGATCATTTCAGGCTAGGAGTTTGAGGTCACAGTGAGCTATGATGATGCTACTTACACTCTGGGCCTAGTGACAGAGTAAGACTTTCTCTCAAACAAACAAACAAAAAGACACTTTTGTAAGAATTACAGAGTTAAATCAAAATATCATTGCCTAAACCATTAGTTTTATCCACATAAAGGTCTCCCAGCTCATAACACACTTATTAAGCCCGTGGCTAATAGTCACATGGCAGGGAA